AGTCTTTCAACCCTGCTTCTGACCAGGGTTTCTTGGCAGTTTGTTGGATAGATTTTCTTCATGAAGCAGAGCTGTCACGATAGGTCACTGATAAACCCCTCTCTCATCTAGTTGTATTCTGAAAGGACATAAAATCAAATGCAGAGTCAAGATTCCTTTTTAATGACACGGGGATAGGTTACGCAGTACAACAGAATTTCAGCAAAAAAGACTGGGGGTGTATATAGGATGCAAACACAGGAACTGCACCAAGGAACAGGCAGACTGCTTTCTGTTAATGGCTATGGAGGAGCAGTCCCAAGGCTCAGGGTCGGTCCGTTTCCTAGAGCCCAGAGCCCTGGACTGCACCCAGAACCGCACACTGAACGAGACACCGTTGCTCACTACTATTGTTAGGAGTTATATGCTTGACCTGAACTCTAAAAATAAGGAAATGCAGAACTCTGACACTTTGCCCAGGTTTTCTGTGATCACCAGCACAGTGTGATGTTCTGACAAAACGGACCTGAACGGTGTCTCGATGAAAAGACAATTTGGTCCCCAGGTTCCTCTTGGTGATAGCAGCTGGTTGTACTTTACCATGAAGCACAGCTTGTTTTCATTATTCACCACTGACTCTGAGGAGGAAGACAGCATCTTTCATACACTTACAATTGGCTGAAAATTAAATTCCTTGTTTTAAGGCATTAAAAGCATTGAATAACTTATATCAGTGTCTGACAAGGTAAAGCAATGGATGAAGGATACAATTCTAAAATAAAGCACCCTAAAAAAAATAAAAAAGAAAAATCTTAATAGAAAGTGGTCTCTCAGAGACTGCTAATATTCCACAGAATGAGAAAGTAAAAGGATTTTAAAATAGTGTATAACTGTTTAGTGAACAATTCACTGCTTTGCAGACATGGGCACTGGCAAGGGGGAGGGGAACACACAACAAAAAAAAAATCCCAACTTTTAACACTGATGCTGGCAACCTGTCAGCTGGACCTTCGTGATGTTGGATTCGGAAAATCAGAGGTATTAAGTGAAATCCAGCAACCCAAAAGCAGCACCAAGGTCCTAGGAATGTGAGCAGACTTGTCTCAGGATGTCAGAGATTAAATCCCAGAACTGAGAACTGCACAGCAGCCAGGGGCAAGGGAAAGGGAGTTTACAACCATCAACGTGAGTTTCAAGCCCAGTCATCTATTTACCGTCTCCAATTACTATTCCTCCTATATACCAATAAATTGTCCCTCAGCTCTGACGTCAAGCACAGGGTTTGAACGTCTGAAGGTCTGTGCCCGTCACCCTCCCCAAGCCTTGCGGGGCGTTGGTGGGAGGTGTGGGACACACAGGGAAAACGCGCTCCAGGCGCAGCCAGCCCAGAACATCCCCCTGCCCTAGGGCTGGCGGTGGGCTGTGAGCAGGGCCAGCAGGGAGACGAGACCTGGCAATCCAGGCGCAGCCTTGGCCTGGTTTTCCACTAAGAACACAAATTAAAAAATGTTATCAACTCCAGTCTTACTGCAGGGAAACATCTGTACAGTCAGCAACCCCCAAGTGTGAACCTGACTGGGGGACTCAGACATTATTTATACTTTTCTTACGATTAGCAACATCACTGTATAAAACAGGACACCAGTCAGCACTTTCAAGGCAACATCATTGTACACCTAAAATTATTTAGATTTATTTATCCTGAGAGTAATTACATTAAAATTCCACTGGCACCTTGGAAAATCTGTGACATTATAACTTCAGCCTGGAACAGTGACCATTTTCAGCTAAGCATTGGTTTAACATAATGCTGTGCAGCGTGGATTTATTAGCAGTTTGGAACTGTAAACTTGGTGGTTTTCATTAGTCTGCAAATTTCTTTGTCATTTATCTAAACTACAGAAGCATTAAGTCCGTGGGACACGAGCAGTACACCAAGGTCAAGTCCATTAGGAAAAAGGAGTCTCTTGATCATGAAGCTCTTTGAAATGTGCTGTCATTTCCAAACATTCCTCCCGAATCTAGTTCTTGTTTAGTACTGTAAATTCCAACACAACTCCTTGCAGAGATTGCATGAGGGTAAAGGTGCCCGAGAAGCCCAACAGCAATTCCTGTAATAAACTGAGCAGAGGCCTTTGTAACACGGACACTTACAAGCAATTTTGATTTGACAAATTACATTAAACTAAAACCAGCAAAGTAGCGGCCTTTGGAAGATCACAATTACAGAATGGTTGAGGCTGGAACCTCCAGAGGTCATCTGCTCCAACCCCCGGAGATGGGCAAGTTCAGCAGATGCCATGGGTCTTGATATTGGTCCAGTTTTTACTTTTTTTCTCATATGCAAAATTCATTGGAATAGTATTAATCCACGTGAAAATAGACACTGATAGCTCTCTGTCAAAGCAAAAGTGCCTGTTAACTAGGTCTGCTTTATACTCACCTGCTATTTTCACTTGTGATTCCAGAAGTGGAATAAACAGCACATTTATGAAACGTGAACTGAGTTGCAAGAACACTGGAGCGGGGATTAAAAATCAAATGAATCACAACAAATTGAGAAAGTTTCCTGAACAAATCAGAATACAATTTAACAACCACCATACGAAGGAACAGTCGTCTCTGTGAACACGGATGGCCATCTAGCAGGGAAGTCTTTGGAAACTTTGGAGATTACAAGAAAGATATGAACCAGGAGCACAACGCACAACACGCCTGTTCCTTTTAATCGGTATGGGCAAGCTTAAACCGGAATACATCCCCACTCTGGGCATTGAAGAAAGATGAGGACCCAGTGCAGGGAATCCAGCAGCTGGCAAAAGCGTCATCAGGGATCACGACAACCCCCAAAAAGTGGTGAAGAGGCGAGGTCATGTCGAGGACTGGGGCAGAAGCCAGCAGTCTCTGCAAAGAAAGGCTGCCTGGGAAAGGGAGGGATTTGTCTGCTCTTGGTGGTGACAGAAGTGGGGGTTGGACCTCAGGAAAAGCATCATTGAAGGCAGCTGACCCTGGAACAGCTTGCCCAGGCAGAGTGGGGAGTACCTGCTCCTGGCAGTCTGTAAGAACGGGTAAAACAGGAACCCGAAGAGGCGCAGGTAGAGCTGATCCTGCCTTGGGACAGGTCCCTGTTGGCCTTACCCTCCATGATTGTCCTTCCACAGTCTTTTCACTGGAGTTTCACTGGGCTCCTGCCCTCCGTATTTAGCTTTCAGCTCATTCCTAAAGCCTTGGCCACCCTGATCCTCAAGAAATCGTAGGGAATGATATAATGAGCTGGTGTCATACTCTTTATGGGCATTGTTCTCCCCTTTCACTTGCATCTTCCTGGTGTATTAGGGAGTGTGCACCACCCTGCATCCCTGCGCATGGGTCTTTCTTAAACACAAGCAGCTCCCATTCCTGATTAGCCTTAAAAAGCCACGAAACCAGGTGTTTGGGAACACACGCTCCTTAATGGAGTTGCATCGGTACACCTCACAACGTCGTGATGCAGCGGGTGATAGCTGAGACTGTACAGCATGCAGAGGTGACACATTTCTTTCTAAAATAACAGTATGACTAAATATCAAATGCAACACTAACGTACGTTATGTCATCGGTTTTGAAGAGGAAATGACCCCACAGATTAATGAGGAATTCTGCCTAGAAGTCAGAGGTGTATGATACAGCCTTATATTATTAAACAAGAGCTAGATATGAGCTAACCTACTTCAACCAGCCTAGCCTTTAATAGAGAGAAGAGAAAAAGGCAGAGTATCAAGAGTCCAGATTTATCTCTGATGTAACATCAACAAAGCCAACAGAATTCCTTGAGGTTCAGCGGCACATGGCAAGTGAAGTTCAGTGCCACATGGCAAGTGCCACAGGTCATCCTGTAAGCTGCAAGGTATGAGGGATGGGAAAAGCAATGCCATTTTCCGTTCCTATTTAGGAAACATTATACCAAGGTATAGGATAGCACAGGACTGTATCGCAGAAAATGTCTGTTTATTGTTATGTAATGATGGACGTATCGATTCACTGAACAATTTTACAAATTCAGATATGAATGTACTCCAGGAAGTCCTCCGGAATAAAGAAATCACAGACTTTCCTAGGAAATTTGATTTTTTCTATCCTGTACCTGCTAAACAGAATTACACTGTAAATAACACACAGGTAGACACCCAGGTTTATATACAGTGTCCCTGAAAAGCAGTCTGCAATCAAATAGGCTATACTTTATTTTTTCAAAGTCCTAAAATCAGGAGATCACTCATCCACCTGATCAAGTCAGACTTCTTATATTCATCCCCAGGCTAGAGATAACAATTCCCTTATCCTCAGTGCTGACACCAAACACGACAGCGTTCCCAGACCCCCCCTGAAGGTATGATCTAAATGGGCATTAATAGATAATTACTGGATACAGAGCACATAAATACCTTTTAAAAAATTAATACACCTGGGTTTCCTTGGACATATGAGCAGTGAGAAGAAAACCCCTAGCATCTTTTCAGAAAACACATCTGAGAGTTTCCCATCCATCGCCTGCCTCTGGCTGTACACCCCATGACGAGGGGGCTGTTCACCTGGGATGACGAGGGGTGGCTGCTCCGGCCAAAGCTGTCGGCAGCTGCTGGCACCTCACATTCAATGGTTTCAGACCCTCTGTTCAGTATCTCTAACCCAAGTTCTGCACTTGCAGACAAACAAGACGCTTGCCAACACACTGAGGGCAGAGCAGTCCCCGGGAAGGGACTAAAGGAGCCGCTCACCTCCCGCTATTTCCAGCGCAGGTCGGTGTCACCCCATTTGCATCACGCATCATCCATCCGCTGTGATGAAACGCAACCCCGTGTTTTAAAAACAGACCTTTGTAACCGCTAGGATACTCTATCTCTGCGAGAACTGCTTCGCATATTTTCCATGGGCACAAACTGCTCCTGCTTCTATTTAAATCTCCGCAGCTCTCTTCGCAGGAGATCATTCACGGGGGGAAGTTCCTTGAGAAGGTGCTCAGCAGAAGAGGAGAAGGCAGCATGGCAGCGGGCAGCAGCGCGGCTCCTGAAGAAAAGCCGAGCGGCACTCCTGCGCGAAGGGCTGTCCACAAGATCCGCATGGCCAGCCTAGTCGTCAGCTTGGCTCGAGGCTGGCAGCAGTGGGCGTCTGACCACCATGTAAAGCAAGCCCAAGAGCCCCCCGGATGGGTCCCTCCTGCAGGAGACTCATCAACTCAGCCTGGACAAGAAAGAGCCTTTGAAAAATGGCCAATTCCGTCTGTCAAGAAGGACCAAGGGAAAGATGACGGGAAGTCCTCAGCAAAGGAATCAGGGACAATAAGAGATGCTGAAAAAAATGCAAGAGAATCAGAGGAAGCCCTCAAAAAGTTCAGCATTAAAAGCAAAGAGGTGACCAAAACGGTGGTAAGCAAAGCCTACGAGCGAGGAGGTGATGTGAGCCTCCTCAGTGGAAGGTACGACAACAACAGCAGCTCAGAGATGACCAAGCTCAGAGAAGAATCGAGTGCTATCGACAAAATTCTTAGTGGCAAATTATCTCCAACCATAAGAAGAAAGTGTTCAAACGTGGTATCAGAGCTGACCAAGGGCTGGAAACAGATGGAACAAGAGGACAAAGAGGGGACTAAGGAAGAACTGCTGCTGAAGGGTCGTGACGACAGCCTGGACGCAGAGGACAGCGGCTATGGGGAAGCCGAGGACAAACTCGAGCATGAAGACAGCGACCGAGAGGCGACAGCTGTGAGGATTAAACGACCTGCTCCTTCTCTGTAAGTAAAACGCCTTTATTACAGTATCACAGATGGTCAGCAGACCCAGAGACAGGCACAGGTTTCCATGAGGAAGAAGAGGAAAACAAAATTGGTAGGAAATGGTCAGAGAGAAACTATTACTCTTGAATGAAAAAAAAAATAATCTAGAAAACCTGTCACATACCTCTCTGTGCTGGTAGTTAACAACAACATCTGACTATAGCCTGAGGTTATGTGCTATCTACAGAATAGACACAGGAAGTTATATGGGGGAAATGTTAATTATATTTAATTTTCTGGATTTACTGGTTCATCAAAATCATTACTTCTTGAGACTTTAGCCCACGTTTCAGATTCAAACCTTTCCTCATCAAGAGCCCACAGCTATTCATTTACTTCATCCAATGTTAAGTCTAAAGCAATGTACCCAACAAATCATATTCCCAAATACCTATCCATTATTTTGTTTAGTAGAAACGGTACATATTCTTGCATATTCCTGGGAGCAATTTGCAGAGAATGTCCAACATAGAGTTTGCAGGAATTACCTTTAAGTACCCCTGTAACAAAAGCGGGGGTCACTGTGTCTCTCTGGAAGCTTTCCATGGTTTTGGAGTTAATCGAGCCAAAGAACAGAAACTTTCACAGGAGCTGGGACCCCAAACATACTTCAGAAAGCACCCAGCCTGCCTCAGCCTCTGAAGAATTGATTCGAATCATGCCGTATGTTATAAATCATTTGACAAAACGGAACATTTCAATCATCAATAGCTTCTTCAACCTCGAGGTCGCTCTAGGGGCACACTGTCACAGGGGGAGGCGTGGGGGGCGAGGTGTGGAGAACGTTCACTGAACGTGTTGTGGAAGTTCCCGACTTCCTTCTGCTTGCAAATTGTGTGAAGAAAAAAGGAAGCAGGACCTGTTACCTACCTGAGTAGTTATTAAACCTCTGAATTAAGTAGCAACCAAACTCACAGCCTCAGGCAGTTTGGGGGAATACTTCTGCTGGTACGAGGCTCATGCTTGAGGATTCCTGCACACCAGCAGGGCATAGGAAATAGGGAGCCCAGACAGAGAACGAGCAGAGTCCAGCCGTAGCCGTGCAGCCTCCCAGAGGGGCACGGGAACAGCAGAGGCTGGCAGCAATTCTCTAGTTCCCTTTCCCAGTGACCTCCAGCAGAACCACCTTTCCAGCAGACGGCTACAAACAGTTGTGCTGTGGCCAGACTTGGGGGAGGGTACCTGCCAAAGCAAGTCCTCGCTCTTTCCTTTGGTAAAAGATGAAAAGCTCCATCCGCCCAACGCTGCAGGAAGGGGAACGGTAGGCAGCTGCCAGACACAACCCGCTGTTCGCTCCAGTTGATGAAGGAGAGCAGAGGGCAATCTGAGAGGGGAAGGCAGGGTTTTCACCCACACCAGCAGCCCGGG